CGAGGGCGGCGGGCGGCCGTTGCCGCGCGCGGAGGCCGGCACCTGCAGCACGGTGTCGGAGCAGCGCGACCGCTGCGACGCGCGCCCAGGCTGCAGCCCGCCCGCCAGCGCCAGGTCGCCGTCGTCGTAGTAGTACCTGCGCACCGCGCGCGGCCCACGTGGGGAGCCAAGGTAACTAGCTTCGCACTACACGGCGATTTATTGAGTCGGGCACTTGGCGGAAATCAACTGTTGCGGTTTCATCCAACCGGGAGCTTATATGCCACTACTAAGTGACGTCACTATGGAGATGTTTAGATCCCGATTAGATGACACCTCAACAGCTGCTTGACGTCAAGTGTACGTTTAAAAAAACCTAATATACAGCTCGCGGAAACTGTGTTCAGGGAAATTGGTGCCAGATTTAAAGAGAAGGGGTGTACAAATACTCCGGAATGGCGGTACACACAGGTCACCGTTGCCCCAAATTTAGAGATATTAAAAACCCATTTCCTCTACGTAAGCAAAGAAATCCATCAAAAAAAATACATCAATAATATTTGAACTTATCAATTGAGAGGAAATTAAACATTTTGAAACGAAAGGTTCTTGACTTTGCAATCCTGTTCACTTAAGGGTGACATAAAAGTATTAACTTTCTACGATCAGGTTAGAAGATTTAACAAACAAGTATTCTTGCCTATTAAGAGCGCTGTCCGTCCGTAAGGGGGAGTTGTCAACTTATGGAGAGACTTGTTAATTTATTTCACATTATTAAGATACACAATAAATAACTGAATGATTTAATGACAAAACGGAAATAAGGAAAGAATTTGCCATTCAAACATATTCTTGTCACTCAGCAAAGATGTTTATATGCGGGAGAATTTAATAAGAAAATAAATATGAAATAGTAATAAGTAGTGAAGAATATAAACATAATAAAATTATCGGTTAATTGAAAGAAAAAGAAAAAAATCTGGCAAACTTTTTTCATATGCGAATAGTGGATTCATTTCACACCGCTTCATCTTACGCATGTATAGCCCTTTCTGTATTTTAAGGGGAAGTGAGTGCGGAGTGAGGGGCAGTTGCCCGTAGGAGCGCCGGGCTCCCCAGGCGAGCAAGTGCCTCGTGCGAGAGCAAAGTGGATGTGAGACAGAGTATAGAAAACATGTAGAGAAAAAGGGAAGAAAATATCGTCAAAAAGTCAAGGTAAGTAGAAGATACAAGAAACAATTGAAAAACTCAAGTTAGATCGAACAATTTAGTAGATACAACAAATCATTAAAAATAAAAAATGAATGAAAATAGAACTCGGTACGATTGTATCAGCTCGTAAGGGAACAAACAATTAAGTAATGTAACGGGTTACTATGGAGGCAAATTTCTTTAAGAAGAGACAGGCTAGAATTCGGAAGAGTTGACAGCATGACGTGATGTAAGTCATGATACTGAAAGTGAACTACTTAATCAAATACTCAACTAGTAGTGTCTTCAAGTGATTAGAAGAATGGCAAAACCCTGGATTATATTATTTATTATTGAGGAAAGTATTTATTCTGAATTCTTGAATCACCGATTAATTGTATCTAACTATTCGCAGAAGCAGTGCAAATAACAGTTTGCCGACTGATTAGCCAGAATTTCCGAACAATATATTTTATTTTTGTTGGAACTTTAAGTGTTTCTTCGACAATCCTCAAGAATGAAGAGAACGGACAGCGACGTCGGGTAAGTGGAAAGCAGTGGCAGACGAAATTATTGGATATACCCACGATCGCGGCGCCAACTGGAACATAAACTGTTGCGGGACGGAAGTTCATACAAACGTAACAAGGAACCCTTAACTAAAAATTTAAGAATAACAAAGGCATTAAAGAAAACAATCATTACACTAACAGGTTATATTTTCTTGTTTCGTTAAGTACTCTTTTAGGCGTTACTCTGTACATCTTCTGGAAACACACAGAGCAATAGAGAACTCTATCTCTTCGATTCCTGGTGTTTTCAAAGACGATTCTAGCCTGGAATTCAATAGAATCCAAGCAACTGACCCTTCTTGACCACTTTGCAGATTCTCAGAACTGTGAAAAATGTAAGGTTGTAAGCAAGGAGATTTTTCGGTCGACTATTCAGTTCAATTGAAGAAAAAAGGTTTTAATTCAAATTCCAGGAAAAATATTATTTTTAGCTCGTTTTCACACATATTTCAGTCGCTTAGGATTTTAAAATTTTAATGTAGTTCATGAATGAGTGAATAGATAAATGAAGGGATCCCAGAGGTCGAAAACGAGCTCTCCAAGAAGTTGAAAAGACGGAGCAGACACAAAAAGAGGAATAGCAGCAGGGAGAGTTCTGAGGTAATCCTCTTTCGTTGTCAGAATAGGAAGGAAGAAAAAGAATTGAAAAGAAAAACTGAACGAAAGAAATGAAAAGAGGAAGATTGCAAGAGATGGAGGCGAAGGAAAGAATCTGTTCCATTAGACTCCATATGAAAGATGAGTGAGCTAAGTTAGCGTTTAACGTGAAGTCACAAGGAAAGAATTCGCGAAAATTTTGTTTTCCCAGAAGCCTCTTACATTCTCATTTTCCTCCATAGATTGATGGACAAGTGGACGTACTGTGGCATCGAAAGGAAAACCACATACAGATCTGCTCATAATATCACTCAAAAGATGACTGGGAGAATAATTACTATTTCTTTGTGAAACATTTTCAAACAGAATACATCATAAATGACTATGACAGAAGATCGAATATCTCAGGACTCTTTCCATGTACAATGCCATTACGTTAGAATAAGAAGGGACAGGCCAATAAAGCTTTGGGAAGAAGTTATTGAAAAGGAAACGGGTTAATATGTTCAAAACGCAATTATATAAAAGCGTACTTGATAATGATGAAGAAGGCGATGATGAGAGTAAGTGTAAAAATATCCAATCGTGGCAAAAAGTGGAAAAAAAGTGTCAACAGCAGTAGTCAGATTGAAGAATATTTGTACATAGAAAAGGTGGAGAATGGAGGGACAACTGTAATAGCACTCCGAGTGAATCACTACATTTGACAAAACAATGATGAAGGGGAAAAAACAGCAACTAAGAGTGATGCAACAGTTACTGGACTGGCTATAAAAACGAGAAGGCCTCAGCGTCGTGAGACTGAGTCTGGGAAGGAAGAGACCACAAACTCGGAGAAGAAAAAAAAAAGAAAAAGAAAGAGAGCAAAGGTGCGCGAGCGCGCTGCCCTGTCGCTTCCTGTTCGCGCACTCACCTGCACTCGGTGTCGGAGTAGGAGGAGCGCGTCATGGACTCGGAGAGGGCCAGCGCGCTGTCGGCCGAGCGCTGCGACGTGCGCCCCGAGCGCCGGAACGACTGGTTGCGCGACTTGCCCGAGAAGCGCCCGCTGCAACCACACACGCACACACAGCGCTGCAAATTACGTACGCAAGGAATGTTACGTTTCTCCTTCAATGGCCTACTTGAAATATCCCTTAGTATTTGTGTTTGTAACTACGTCGCTGACCGGGAGGCACAGCGTCCTTGGCACAGATGCCAACGTTTCGGCAGTTGATTGATTAATTCGTTACTAGTGATTCCGGGCGCGTCAACAGCTAATGTCGTTAGTCCCGTAAGTGTAGTGCACGCTTTTTTCGCTTGGGAGGTGGCGGTGATCTTGCCCCGCTGGATGGCGAGATCCGGCGCTGACCTACCATTTGTATGCAGGATATATCCCAAACAGGTATCACCTACCAGCTGATCACCGTCCCACCCGGGACTAGCTCTAAGCTTCCCACCGGTCTCCCGGTTAGTGCGACAGTGTAACGCATGTTATTTAAGTACATGTAAGGGGAGAGGTTAGGTCAAGGAATGGGAAGAAAAGATCGCCCGCGGTGCGTGGCTCGTTTAATAGTGCTTTCCCTGGTATTGATCGGAGAAACCAAGGCAAACTACCGATCCGACCAGCCGGCCGCTAGAGTTCTCCTCCAGACAGCGACAGAACTCGACTAAGCTATCTTACTAGTGTCTAAACTCCTGCCACAGGCGGGATTCGACCTCCAGAACCTCCCGATCAGGGACGCTGCAATGACATCAGGGCAGTGAACCACTATCTCGTTACATCGCTTGAAAGAACGTAAGGAAACAGTGATACGTTTTTCTTTAACCCTCCCTCAGGGCAAATTGAATTTCCAGCCACGAACATAGATACCGACTCCAGCCGTGGAAGTCTACGCTTTTATTATTATTGTTGTTTTCCTCTAGACTCATGACCGGCGTGCTATTATTCGTTCACCCTAAGAAACATCCTTATGTAAACCATTGCGCGTTTGTTAAGAAGATTCTCATACGTCTTCAATGTGAACTCTGCTGCTGTAGGGATCCCGGCGCTAAAGTAAATAGTTCTCTGTATAAAAACTCATTTATATGCCATCTTTCGTTAAATTAACCTTGCGTTGAGACTATTGCAACGGTTTCAAGAAGGAGACCATTGTGAACTGATTCCGTGTTGCTGTGCGATAAGATAACGAGCCTCTGGCAGTTCAGCCCAAGAACGTACTGATTGCCGTAGGCCAGGGGCGTAGGACGCTGCTCGTGGAATCGCGGCGCCGCGCCGCCGATCGGCCAGCAAGGGTCTGCTATTCGGTTCGTTTTAGAATGCCTCAGAGTGTAGCTGTCCCTTCAATAATTAATGGAAAATGTCTTCAGAGTAGCGAAGAGCGCATCGTTCTGAACGTTTTCAATTAGTTATTGCATAGTAATCCATCGTTACTGGTGAAACCAATCGCAGAGTTCACAGGAATATCCGTATCCAGCGTACTGAAACTCCGGAACGAGCTTACTCACAAGGTACAACTACAAACGCCAGAGAAGAAAAGAAAGGGGAAGAAACCTGTGATTGAAACATAAGATGATTTTGTGGCCAATGCTTTTCGATCGAAAGTGCGTTCCTTGCACTAAAAGAGCAAACCTCAAGAAACGAAACACCATCGCTTTCAAAATTGTTGTAGCTTGTGAATCAAGAACTTCCAAATTTTAGGCCAACCAATTTATACAAATAATTGACATCAGGTTACTGACAACCAGTTTCTGAAAAAGACTGATCGTAAGTAAACTAATTGCATGAACTGTCAATGCATTTGCTAACCTGTCTGAGCTGTCAATGCATTTGCATGACAGCTCTCATTCCATTTGAATTGGCAGGGTGTGCTACTCGTGTCATCGAAAGAAGAAGAATCAGAAGCGTAGTGCGGCGCAATGATTTCTTCAGTTTTTTACATCAGGTTTTTTCTTAGGGTGAATGGATAATAGCTTCATCTGGTGTGGTCTCGGTTGAGGCAAATTGTAGTTGTAGCTTTACTTTAAAATCGTAGCGAATCGTAGTTGTAGCTTTACTTTAAAATCGTAGCTCTGTAGCGAAGAAACGCTCAGACAGACGGAGTTTGTCAGTTACGGTGAAGAGCATACGTCATGTTATCTACATGTCTCTCTTATCCCTCTGACAATCTTTTAAATAAATATATTCTGTTGAAGTGTTTATATATTTGTTGGTACCCTCTGTGTTTTGAGTAACTAATACTAACCACCAAATTGAGAGGAGTACCTTGTAAAACTCTATTCATCTATAATAAGTCATTTTTAATAAATACAAAAACAATTCTGTATTCAACAGTATCGAATAGGCAAATTTGCCATTTCAGAAGACCAGGATACAATGAGCCCTACCTCAATCATCGATTTCATACATTCGTATGTAATAATAGCCAAAAGGCTGGTAATTATTTAGGACAACAGACAAACAATGTATACAAAAAAATCAGGAATGTACTATCCTCTGAACACTGTTGAAGTTGGCTGGAGAGATGCGCTCTCATAATATATTTTCCAAAATGTTCGTTTGAAATCTTTCAAATCATGGAAAGTATTTTGCATACGTCTCACTGACGTGAATCGTTTTTGAGTTGTGCAACGGTAATATCGTTCAATATTTTGAAAAGAAAACTTTACATGTTTAACGCGGTAAAGTGTGAGTCCCGGATGGTGATGTGGGATGAAAATTTACAACATGGGCATGTTAGTACGTTTGTACTACTCTCTTATTCTGCGCTAATTTTCTGACTCAGAGAACGACATAGAATATTAATAGCGCTCTGCCTACTATCTCAAGGAAGGTTATCGCTTTGGCGATTGACACTGTCCAGTGTGAGTCGGCGACGTAAAAACATCAATGATCAGCTGCATGACATATTCTGTTTTTTACACTGTTTTTAACAAAAAAGACATCACAAAAACAGTTACAAGAAACATGTTCTAAATTGAATCTTCATCTCCCAAAAGAATCAAGTGAGGTAAAAATCAATCATTCAAAGGAAACAAAGAGTTTAATATATTTACGGGAACAAGACATACGTACACCGTTAAAACTATTAGGTGTATAGATGAAGGAGAACGCTTTCGGAAAGCATAGTGTTGCGGTGAATCCATACTCAATACTCAATAAAACATGTTGAACCCCTTCATCATTAATTCTATTTTTCAACATTTTCCTTAAGCAGATTATTTAATTCTATTACATATCACCAGCAGCTAATATCATATAAGAATAATTAAAACTTGTTTAAATCTACGTTCATTAACAAAAGTTATGTCTGGATTAACATTTTTTAAATAAACTCAACGAATTGTTTTTTTTAAATCGAGTAGAAAGATTATTCGCCGATGTTCAAAATCAAACCAAGTTGTGTTACATCAAAATAACACAACAAATGCATTCATAGATGGTAAAGGATTTTCGATAATAAATCGAATTTAGGTAAACACTGTAGATTTGGAAAGTACTAGGATTACACAACAAATCGCTCGGATATAACATTATTTTCAGACTTGGATATTTGTCCATTTGCGACGTTTGCACTAAAAAATAGTAAATGTCAAACGATAATAAGTGGCAAGTCAAAATCACCAATCAGGAACATTCAATGTCTCTAAAGGAAGGAAGTAGTAGCTTCTATGCATCACATAGTACAGGTGAGTTATAAAACACTAGGAGCTCTTAAGTGATGAGTTATAAAATCGCTCCTGGAAACTAAAAGAGCAATAGGGTTTAACAGCATCACATTTACTTACATACAATATACAAAGTATTACTACCTTTAGTTTGGATTATTAATGATAAGGGTATTAAACAGTATTTCAATTATTCACACATTCATTAACACAAATATCATTTACTTTTTCTCTAATAAATTTGAATCGTGATAAAATTTGGTTGATGACCTATTGAGCCGAACTGCCTCATATATATTGCTCATTTATTATTCACTTCACTCCTTAGTCACCATACACAGATTACGTCATTGTTTGGATTTCTCCAAACTAGCGGCATGTATATAAACTCCGATAATGCTAGCCTTTGGTCGCTCCGCAATGCAGATCAAGAATTATGACTCCAGGCGAAGAACGATTCTCGTGTTATTGCTGGTCGTACAACTGGTTGTTCTAACGCCAGGTGTTGCACAAGTCACGCAGACATGTTCATTTGAAAAACTAGTGACCATCTCTCTGGATGTGAAATCTAATGCATCCGGACCCACAATTGTCCACGTAAGTGTTCTCAAGTTCTTTTCGCGTTACGTAACGAAATTTATATCTTTATATTCTCTGTCGTCAGGTTGCCTACACATTTTTTTAAATTTACTGATTCAATGTATTATCGATGAAATCAAGTCATTAAAAGAAAAACATAATAATCGTTTTAGCAATATTTCAACGTCATATAAATGAGAAGATTTTATATGTTCTGTTCATATATGAAAATTTAAACATATATGAACAGGTTTGCGAGAAGTATTTATTTTATAACAAAATAAAGAATACCATAATACATTCCTTCGGTGGCTCGCTTACTGAAAAGATATCCTATAATGCCTCATTTCCTGCTATCTCCAATAAATGCCTGTGATTTCTTTCTGCCAGGGACGTGTTGAACAGCTGGCTTCCAATACACAATGGACCCTGGGGGTGGAGTTCGGGGCTACAATGTGCTCAGGAGCCGATCAACCTCGTAGCAAGGTCATGTATTTTACGCTTACAGGTAAGGATGCTATCACTTTGTGTGCATATTAGGAGCTGAAAGAAAACGTTCATAACACACATGTTAGTGGAAAATGGGTTTTGTGCATTACAAATTCAGTGCGTGTGACTCAAATCGTTTGACACACGCCGTGCGTGATTGCTATACAATACTAGTTAGTACGAGAAGTTTTCAATAAATATATTTTACTGGGGAGGAAAACCCACCAAGGCGGCCATTCTGTAAATGAATGAAATAAAAGATACATTCAAAAAATGCAATCAAAAATTACTGAAGCATGCAGGTATTGCCTGGGTATTTTATATAACATCCATTTGTCTTCATGTAGCAAGCAGAAGTCCCGCTCTTTCCCCCCTGTCACTTACCGACATCCCCGCTACGCTCCGCTCCGCTCCGCTCTGCCTCACCTTCCTTGACAAACCCCGCCCTGACCGCACTCCCTTGCCTTCCCTATCCTCCTCCTTCTCCTCTTCCTCCTCCTCCTCTTCCACATCCTCGTCGAGGTACACCTAACCCCTTGCCACCCCACTGGCACCGCTGCGCCGTTTGCCGTCAGACCGCAATACAGAGCGGGTGGCCAAAAAACACCCTTTTCACTCCAAAAACAGAAACTTTTCAGGGAACCCCTTCCTAATACAAGGCGAGAGAAGTGAGGCACTTAGAGCGTGCCCCGGCTGGAGCGGTAGCCCAGAAGGAGGAGATACCTAGAGGGAAAACATCCGCAAGATGACATGAAGGGCGACGCCGGATCTCGTGTTCGAGCTTTAGAACTTCGTCCCCTTCTCAAATATAACATGCACTAAAATTATGGTAGTAAAGATCATAATAGTTGACGCATCCGGGAACACGAAATAATCAGACGCCGCCCGAGGGAAGTTCGGAATTCATCGGCGCGTACAGTTCTGTTGCGAGTGTCGCTGGCGACGTAAATAACAGAGTTCGGTTCGGTCCGATCCTGTCGTATCCTGTACTGTCTTGTTCTATACTGCCCTGTCTTGTCCTGTCCTGTCCTGTCCTGTCCTGTCCTAACCTGTCCTACCCTGTACTGTCCTGTCCTATGGCTCGACTACGGGCCTTGGCCGAACAACGGTGACCGGGCCATGAGATAAGTGGTTCGTTTGGTTAGCACGAAGACATCCCTTCACAGCATATTCTGCTCTTCATAACCTCAGGGTGGGCTTTCTCATCGTCACACAGCAATAGATACTGGGACATTTGTTCTGCACACAGCTAAGCACAGTTATTATTTTGGTCCGGCCGGGAAACGAACATGGGATTGCGCCGCGGAAAACGAGCGCGCTAACCAACTAGCGACCGAGGGCATAAATGACAGAGTGAATCCTGATAATTATCTCCAATGAGTAGGGACACAGTTTATAACGGAGAACGGAAAACCTCGCAAGCAGCAACCCTGCCCGCAGACACGGCGGCCCGGAAGCTGCTTCCGCCCGGCTACACGTGGCGGGCGGGCGTGGACGCGGTGCGGGCGTCGGCGGCGCCGCTGGCGTGGGGCGCGGCGCGCGCGGCGTGCGAAGCGGAGGGCGCGCTCCTCGCCACGGTCTCATCCCCTGCAGAGGCGCGCCTGCTGTGGCGCGTGGCCCGCGAGCTCGAGGTCCGCCCGCCCGCGCCGGCGCCCGTGCCCGGCGTCTGGTACGGCGCGTCCGACCACGAGCGCGAGGCGCACTTCCTCACCGTCGCAGGTACGTTCTCGATATTCCGCAGCGGGGAGAGGAGGGCTCTGGCTACGTGACGGCTTAAAAGGACGTACCGACTAGCGTGCCACGAGAAGTGATACGATTGTTTGATACTTCGTTGCGAAAGCACGAGGTGGTTGTTGACAGCATTGTAAATTGATACGTGCCGTACCGAGTGGAAACTAAGTATTCCAACGTGCCGTGCTATTCAGCGCTGGATGAGCACTCGGGAGCTCGTGTGTCAAGAAAACTTAACGCGCGCGAGTAACACACAACTTGTCGCTAGCAGTGTCGTATTCCACGCACGGACTTCTTCGCTCGACTTCTGCTTCTGCCTAAGGAGGTTTGCAGATGCTTCGTTTTTGTAAAATTCGCGAAAACTTACGCAACAAACGTCATTTTTATCTAAAATACAACGTAGGAAGTTTAAGTGTTTAATCATTTCATTTATAATTACAAATTCTGTCTTACATTCACGATAAAGAGTAATGTACATATAATCCCCAGTGCGAATTTCAGAATCCCGCTCGACCCATATGGTAACCAGGTAAGCCACACCACCCTTAACAAGCTTACTCGATTTTGATCCAAGCGTGTCTTCTCACTGACTTCGTAAAATGAACAAGCAACCAGATAAGATAGCAATCCATGTATTAATACATAATATTGTATTCGAAGGCTTCTACCTCACCAACGATATAATTAATCAAAGCCTTTGTATATTTCGCTGCCAGAAACATGTGATAAAATTTGCCGCGGATTGCTACTATCGCTCATAAAAGGAAGGAAGGTAGAAGGCCGAAGGAAGGTAGAAGAACTTCTACGCAAAAAAATATGACAAAAGATTTTGGGACGCTTGATATCATTCCTCACAGTCAAAAAAGTAACATTTTTTTACCATTTTAATGCTAAAGACAAATATCATTTTTAAAAGTACAGTATTTATTAATTATGAATACACAAACTTTAAAAGACTCAACGGCTAATTTAAAGATAGCCAAGATAAATTACGTATTACTTGAGACACATTATCAGTTTACAAAAACAACTTCAGGCTGAAAATTTTGAAATTTTGAATAAAAATCAATCATTCATTCATTAATTACACTCAACTAAACATTCTGGAAAATAATACATTTTTATTTTTATCTTTTTTCAGGTGTCCCTCTAAATGACACTGGTTTTGCTTCATTTCAAGCTCTCACACCGAATGGAGGAAAACAGGAGAATTGCCTTTTTATGAATAAAGACAATGGGTTACTTGACGACGGAGTATGCGATTGGCTGCTTGGGTACATATGCAAACATTCTTTGTAAAATAATCTACATAAAATAAGATGCAAATACTGATTTTTTAAGAGAGTCACTGATTGCAAAACTATATGGTAAATTCCTTTTGGCAGAAAGTTTATAGTTTGAAGTTCACGAAGAGAATAAACGGTCAGCTACCTTTATTGTCACTCAAATGCTTACTATTATACCATTTCTGCCGTAGAAATATATAACTACATTATATTAAAATTACTAATTATTGCCCAAAAATTACATGTGGATTGATATAACTATTTTTCTACGCAGTATATAATGAAAAACTTAACGGATGATGAGACAAAATTAACACTATTCGGACAGAGCTGGGTGAAGATCTCTAAAGAAAATAATTTCTTGAAATTGTTCTGGAGTGTGAAATTAACAAGTTTTTGTTAACTTCATCGTGTTAATTCTCATTCATGTGTAATGATTTATTATTAATAAATAATTCCTAAAATAAAACATTTGAATTGCAGTTTAGATCATTGTACAGTATTCTTTTTCTTTTTGTTTCACACGACATGCCCCGCCCCTAGGCAAATGCGCCACATGGACAGTAAAGGTAATGTTACCTAAGACTTCCTGGCTGATCATTTTTCCCACCAGCTTTATTGGATATTTCCATCCATGCCCGGTACCTCCCACCAACGACACGGGCTAATGACGTATACAGCCGCCGACGCGCCAATAGACCAACCGACTTGCTGAGATTGAAATAATAATATGATAATATGAAAAATGAAGTATTCTGTGGTAAAAAATAATTCCTATACTTTCACAGAAAGCCATGTTCCCATAGTCCTGGTCAGAACTGTAAGAAAAGGCGAGATCCCGTTTTCTCCTCAAGCCTTGGTTTCTTAGAAATATATGAAACATCCTTTTCAGACAGCCACTACTAAAATCGGTTCTGTCAGATCATGCTTTGCGTGATAAAAGTTCAATTTTTAGCCCTGGTGCAAAATGTAAGTGGTTGTTCAAGTATTAAGATAAATCTATGAATTCAAGAAAGAAAAAAATATTTCGTTTTATTGAATTAAAATACGAGGACAGACAATAGGACTGTCTAAAAATAGTTCACAATTTTTTTTCTACTCGACCTATTGGCTTGGGATCGCAACATTTCTTACTCTCAAAATAAAATTGTCACTTTTAACACTCGTATCAAAAATAAGTATTTCCTCACCCCTGTTCTGAGCTTTCTGTTCCACTCAGGAGCCGAGAGTCGGTCTGAACACTGGAACTCTAACAAGGGCCGTGGCGTCGGCCGGAACTGTGAAGTATCTGACCACTTTATTATTGAAATCCTGTATCATATACGACGATCCCACCATCAGATTTGTTTCATAATTTTTCTATTATCTTGGTAACTTGCACGTTTTCTTTAATCCTAGGATGACCTCAATTCATTATACAATGTTGGATTATGCAAAGATAACGAGTCGACATTGGATACCTAGAAACAGCATCGGCAAACAAGCTATTTCTCAATTATTTTCACTGTCTGTTAATATACAAAAGAATGGGTCAAGAATGTCAATATGATATTTAAAAACAAATTATTTATTAGATTCGATGATGCTGCCCAAGAAATAACGAAAGTGGGAAACTTCACTCACCTATAGCAAAATGAGAGCTTCAGGCTTCGTTCGCCGGTTACGTAACTTTCAAATCATCAATCATAACTTGCGAAATGTTTAGGTACAAAGTCTTACATGAAAAAGAATAAAATTCATTTTATCTCACACATTTGAATTTGTATTTATGGACGTTTTGGGTGATTATAATAAAGTGGCCAGGCCAGTCACCATGTTGTGTAATTATTAGAAGTAAGTAACTATTAGAAGCGTAACAATCATGTTATTCCGTATTGGAAGACTTGTTCATTTGGAACTAACTATAAATGCGCATTTATTTACATGCATAAACATGTACCATAATACTATCTGACTACAAATATGTAAATTCACATACACCGTAACTTTCACAAAGAGTACGAGGAACATAAGTTCCAGAACAGAAGATTGATCTGATCTAAGATTAATTAGATTTTTTTGTAATTTACACAGCCATACTCTTATTAAGATTTTTTAATTATGCTATGTTTCATTAGACTACTGTTGGGCTGACTAGTTTCGTAAGTGTAGTACATATTACAACGTTGGCATCCTATAACCTATGCTTAATGCACTCTTTGTCCTCACTGAATACAAATTAATGCGCGAGCTATTTGCCACTTTAAAATCAGGGAGGTATAGCATGGTAATTGTAGTGAAAGATGTGAAGATAAAATTAAAGTGTATTGGAGGCCGGCATATAAATCTATTATGGTAATAACAATGTAACAAATATTATTGGGCTCGCTCACATTACTTAATACCAGTTCGTGGGACATTGTTACTCTGAAATCATTTTTAAGAATGATAAACTGTATATCCTTTAGGATAATCGCGGACACACTATTCTCAATCACAATCTTCACTGGTATTTATTAATCAGTGAATATTCAAGGTTCTCTTGATCTTTCTACCGTTCGGACAATTTACCTATCGACTCCCTTACTCGTGTACCCATGAAAACCGATGATGATATCCTTAATTATGAGGGGCCGCAAAGGAAATAATTTAGAACACAACCATGAGAATCAAACTACAGATCTAGATAGGCACCCAACCACATACCACGCGAAATATAATGCTTTACAAAGTAGTAACACGTCGGATAATCAAGAGAATTCTATATTTTTATCCATTAGGAATTTGTCCCACTAATGGGAGATGGAAATATTTATAGGTAAATATTTACTTAACATAATGAAATATTTGCCGGTGGGTACATAAAAATCTTCCGATAAATCGATACAAACTAGTCGACGCGAGCGCTGGTATAAGGGGCATTCCCACTCGGTCAAGCTATTTAAGAAGAATACTCCCTGTCTTGGTAGGCCACTTTATAACACTTTCTTCTATAAATTTCTTCGGGCGGAAAAATTCTATATAGCTTGGCACAAACTATTGGGACAAGGAGAATTTATCGGGGTGTGTTTGTATTTTCACAACACTTTTGGTGCCATAAAAGTTAATAAAACCACATTAACCAGGGGAAGCCGGGATGGCTAACCAATTTTGGGATTTTACCTAATAGATCTACTAAACATTTTTCGATATTAACAAAATCGAGGTCCCATTTTCTATTACCCATTGTGAGGGTATAAATATAGATTCGTGGGGTTACCATCCCGTTCGGAGAGTCATCCTGAGTAAACCACGCGCTCGTTGAGCGCGGGGAGTCTGGACCAGTGCCTTTGGCGCACTTTTTTAATACAATTATGAGGGGTAGGACTTAGGTTGAGTGTCGGACGTAGGTATCGAATGATAGCAAGTGTATGCTGTGGTATGGGCTGGGGGGAATCAAATTCAGAAGGAGTCAGTGTGAATTGGGATGGTGGCCGTTGGGGGTGCAGGGGGTTGCCAGACGTGATAAAACGTCGTGAACTGAGCGAGAGCCTAACGTGAACTAGAAGCCGGCGTGTCAGATATTGGAAAGGGCTCTCGCAGTAAGAAGAAGTAGTGCTCGGAGCCATAACGCACGTTGATGGAAATTATGCGCGGGGAGACCGTGAAACGAACCAAGGGGCGAGGGCGGATGAGCGATAAGCGTCCAGAGGACAGGGGAAAAGGCGGTAAGAGGCTAGGAAGCGGGGTGTGGGAATCACTACTAAACAGCAACGTGGCGGGGATGACAGAGATATCTTTCTGGGACACCGGGGCATTATAGCGGATGGTTTTGTCAAGTGAACATGTGTCATAGTAGACGCGCGCGTGTGCGTAGAAATAAGCGGGGCTGTATTTATTTTTGGAAAAAGGGGGACAGTCCTCGGGGCCGCCGAACAAGCGGCGGGCGGAAGCCGGGGCGGAACTGCAGGAGGAGCGGGGGTGGCTGGGAGCGGTAATGCGGACAGAGGGATTTGTCCATGTGCGGGACGTGAATACATGCGCGACTCAACGAACGAGCAGGAGGGGGACGCGGGGTGGATCGGGCGACGGGGAGCCCGTTTGGGCGACAAAAGGGGGGGGTGCGGGGCGGGGGACGGGTCCGTGGGGGTCGACGTGGGGGGTGTGGAAAGAGGCGTGTCGGAGAGCGTGAACAGAGCAACGCCACAGGTAAGTAGGCGAACTGGAGGGCTGGGCGTTAAGCAGGATATTATTGGACGCTGGCGCGAGGTCAAATCAACGTCTGCTCTACGTGCGCAGTCCACGCCGGTGTGGAAGGGTCGGGCGCGGCGGGGTGAGGCTCACAAGCGTGGGGGATCGCGTTACATCAATAACCTTCATTTCGGTCGGGCCGGAGAGGCGCAGAGCTGTAATCAGAGGTCATTCTCTCCCTCACAACACAATTCACCAAACTTGGACCCGCGCTTATAAAGAAAGTGCGGTTCTTTCCAATTAATTCAATTATTACATTGTTTGCAAGCCGAGCGGCGCTTTTGCAACTAAAGCTACTTATTGTATGCGCTATATACCAACTGGAACGGGTGAGAGAAGAATTAACAAGCTCTGTTCTGTTGCGTAACGTCAGTCTAGATCAACTCAAATGAGTACTTGGTGGACTACGTGGAATCCCTGGTAATGGAGTGTTCAATATTGACAATTGCGGTGACATACGAGAGAGGATTTGAAAGATGAGGTTGTGCAGGAAAATGAAAGGCAATAAAAAAATGAGCAAGTCAGGAATATTATAAAATAAGATAGCATGAAGTGCAAGAGAAGGAAAACACACAGGAAGTAACCGTATAACTGAATGAAGGAGAAATAGAGAGACAGCGGAATAAGAGAAGACGAGCCAGTTATGAAGAGAAAGAAGTGAAAAGTGAGAAGTGAAGAATTGAAAGAAAGCAGAATGACAGAAAAGATGGAGATCAGAGAGAAGAGAGGAAGAGAGGAGAGGAAGGAGAGGAGAGAGAAAAGGAGATAGAAGAGAGCAGAGGAGAGAAGGAGAGAGAGGAGAGGAGAGAAAAGCTGCAGAAATAGACCGTGCTAACGGAGAATTGGAAACAAGAAAGAGTGGAATAAAAAGCGAGAGAAAAAAATGGTAAAGCGCAAGAGTTTGAAAAGTAAATGGACGTTAGATGTGGAGAATGCAAGGGAGTAAAAGGAAGAAGGCGGAAAAAGACGATGGATGGGAACGAGAATAGACCACAATCATTAAAAAGAGCGCACAAGAGATAATTTGCAACAATGGGTTAATGGAATGGTTGGCACCACATCAGTAGATCGTCAATGTATGACAAAAACAAAAAAATATCAGAAAAATGTTGTGTATGTAGAGAATTATTCATCAGCACTGCAGGAGGACTATTCCTGATCAGAATTACTTATCAAAATAACAAATTCATATGTAATTGTCTGTTACTATAGATAGTGCTTTTAAGAAAGGAAACTTTCAAAACCATGCAAGATAACTGAAAATTAAATGCAGAAAAAATATATGG